ATGCAACCTGTGTGTTGGGTATGCCACGGAGTCTTTATGCCTTAGAACAAACGCTTACATTGCGCCATGGATTCTCAGGTCAGACTTCTGCCCGGAGTGGGCCTGGGCAGAGGAACGAATTTGAGGTCTTGAAACTATTTATGACCAGCTGCACACACAGGAGGACTCATCCGCGTCCGATTCGAAAGGAGCTGCGGAAAGAAGGTCCCAGCTCCAGTCGAAGAACATCTTGTTTGTGGTCCTATGTCAAGTTGAAAGTCTAAGCATCACATAATATCGTCAGGCGGGAGCTCATTGAAGCCGCCAACGAATGGAGGCTGTTGCAGTTCCATGAATGTCAACAAGCAACAGAATCCCGTGGTAGCTTGCAGGACAAGAAAGACCTCTGCCAAGAAGGGTGATAGACATCACCATGGGCAGAGGAAGCAAAAAGACAGCGAGGATAGCGCCCAGTTGACCAAGGGCAAGAATGGCATGGACGGCAAAGGCAAGAACAAGCCGCAGGGGGGCGACAGCAAGGGCAAAAAAGGCAAAGGCCATGATGCCACAGGCCCGGAGACCAAGGGCAAGAATGGGAACCAGCAGCCAGCGAAGTCCCGCGGGCGGAACGCGCGCGGGAGGAACTGGTGGGGATAGGTGTGCATCTGACCTGACCCGTCGATAAAGGAAATTTGCCCCTCGATTTGAAGTGTTATAAAGCTGGGAGAGCTGGGGAAATCTTCGAGCAGATGCACGAAAGGGGTGTGCTTTTGTGCTATGACAGCTAGGGCGTGAATATACAAATGCAAGGAACGTTAATGCAAATCAATGTCCATAAATGTATCCCTCAAACGAAGTGCAAAGGCTAGTTGAATGTCAAAGCCTTTGACGTTCAATTGAGCTTTTCAATGAAAGGTTTCTTTCTCGTGCAGGTTGCCCTGACTGAGTGTGCATATTGAAGTGATTGATGACGTGTGTTTGGGTGCCCTTGCTTGCAACATACCCAGCACCAGCATGAGGCGGACAATGATCTGGGACACTGTCAGGGCACGTAATGCTTCTCCTGGAATCACTTTCAAGTCTCAGCATTCATGAAGTGAGTTGAAGCAGGCCTGCATATGGAGATTTGAGTGTGGTTCTTCCGCGACAACTGGGGGCAGGGCATGCGGCGTGAATTTGAGCAACTAAGAGACTCCTCAGCATGCGCATGAGTATACCGCTTCCGGCCCCTTTCACCACGTTGGGGCTGGGACCGCTCGGAAGAGCTGGCTAGAAAGCTTGGGAGTAGGTACACTTCAC